GTTGGGAGACGAAGGGAAGAGCAGGACACACCCAGCAGCTGCAGGCTTCCTCTCAGGTTGCTTGCCCACCGACTCAGCTGCCAAGAGATAGACAAGCACCCGCCTCCACCTGTTCTTTCCCTTAAGTGCCAAAGATCTGGCTGTACAGTTAGGGCTGCTGGAGAATCATGCCTAGTGATAGCTGCCCAGGACTTTGCAGGTGCATTTGCATAACACCCTAGGTCCTTGGGGTGGGCTCCGATGCGCTTCCTGAGTATCTCTCGCCTGGGCTCCCCACACCACCCGCTGCATCCCTGGGCAGCTGGAGGCATCCTCTGACACGCAGTTCCAGTGCCCCGGTGCACACCTCCCAGACTCCCTGCTAGCACGGACACTAAACCCAGCGGGCCTCATGCTGTCCCTGGTCCTGCACCCAGAGGAGAGCTGAGGAGAGTGGTTCAGGGCAGGATGGAGCAGATTCCAGCTCACACTGTGAGAAACCCGACCACCCTTGACGCAGCGTTCTACCCATGTTGCTCCATGGTGTAACCCAATAAATTGTCTTTCTGCTTAAATCAAAACTGTCAGAAAGTAGAAGGACAGTGGGATGCTCATGTCTGAAGCAAGGAGGAGAATTTTGAGGGGGATTCATGGCAATGTGTCCTTAACTCTAAGCATTTCTTAAATTTCAACATTCATTTTGTATCCTGATCAGTTCTGCACATCTTTCTCTGATTACTCTGTGACCATATTTTAGGAGTAGGTTTGGTTTCCTTAAGCCTGCTTCTCCATTCTTACCAATAACAGTTGTACCATCAGCATTTGTCTAATTAATTAAGTAGTTAGGGACAGGAAGCAGAGAGAACAGTGAAAAAGCCTTAGCCTGCCTCATATTTACACTTTCATCATCCTTAGCTGATGATGACCAGGAGAGGAAGTGGGATCAGCTTGGAAGGAAGACTCGATAGCATGTGATGAACAGAGGCGGGGATGCAATAGGACCTGCCTCACGAGGGGAGCGCGGACTGGGAGGCCCACAGGCAGGGTTTCGGGCCCAGCCTTGTGGCCGCTGAGGTCCTCAAAACCCTGTGATAGGAAACCAGAGTGTGAGCACGTGCACGGGGGGCGAGGGAGGAGGAGGAGAGAGAAGCCAGGGAGGATGGAGGAGGAGAAAGGGCCCAAGAGAGGCTCCCGTGACAGGCGAGGGAAAGAGAGGCCGAGACAGCTCTGAACTGCTGAGGAAAGGAGCAGGCAAGGGCCCAGTGGCTCCGCGCTCTGCAGGCCCTGAGGGGCTGATCGTGACAGGAGTGGAGGGTATGAGCCGAGCTCCGCTCCGGGAGGTGGGGTGCAAGCGACTCAGGGTTTGCAGCAAGAGGAGGGGTGAGAGGAAGCCTCCCTGCAGGCAGATTCCCCTGCCCAGGTGAGGGGTCACTGTGGGCTATGGGCCCAGAGATCGAGGTCAGGAAAGAAGAGAATGGATGGGCTGGAAGGGAGCCTCAATGAGGGGCAGCCATACTCATGCGGATTAAGCACAGTCCAGGAAAGGCGAGGATGTCTGTGGCCAAGAGAAAGCGTCGGGTGTGAAGGTCTGTGCTTCAGTCATGCTTTCAGTCAGCCCAGCTCTGCAAAATGTCCCCACTCCGAGAGATGGAGGTTTGCCCTCCGGGTCTCTGTCCAGTGCCTCCTCTGTCCACTGCCCTTTACCACACATCCTCCAGGCTCTATTTTCCATCTCAGTGAGCCGCAAGAGCTCCTAAAACGCTCAGGAAATCTATTTTTGTTATTGTGTTTCTGTGTTTTAAACTGTTGACTGTGTATAGTTTCACGATGCCCAAGCATGACACTGAACTTCAGAACTCTCCAGTGTATAACAATGGAAATTGCCATGCAGAAAGCACCACCGACATGTTGGCATGTGCATCGTGTGTCGTTCCATCTTAAATAATCTCTAAGTTTGAACTTTTGAGGTAAAGCTTATAATATACAGTGAGGCTGGATCACTTGTTTCTTTCAGACTTAAACAATCTCATTTAGCCAATGGATGAAACTAGCCAGTTACCCAAGCTCAGCCCGAGAGGGAGGGTCAGTGTAAAGAGCCCATGGTGGCTTCCCTGGCTCCGGTCAGCTCCCTTGCTGAACTCGAGGGTGGAAGCAGCAGCCTCCAGTGTTTCCCACATGCTGCTGAAGTCTCTTCCTGAGAATGGATAAGAATTTAGTGCTGCCATTAGTGGTGCTACCAACTCTACGGTGTCAGTAACAGGCATCCTTTCCTGAGTTCATCCTGTGGTTCCCTCTCCTTCCTGTGCATTTCACCTACCTACCCACTTCAGAAATAATTACAGCTACCCCTCTCCACAGGCTGAAACACAGAACAAAGGCTCTGGGCCTTACACAGGGAGCCTTCTCTAAGACACAGTGCATAATAAAAGTATCAAAGGTGGGCTTGGTGGAGCTTGTAAATTTGTTTTTAAAGGCCTTGATGGTCTAAAATGTAGCCTGAATTCAACTTGCAGGCCTTAGTCTATCTCATATTTACATTTTCACCATCTTTGCTAATTAACAAGTAATTAAAAATAGCCTGATCTTTCTGGAAAGAATGATTCTATCTTTGGGAAAGAATGTCAATTTTTCAGAAATACCAACTTGAATTTTGATAAAATAAAAGTTTTCTGTCCCCTATGATACCATAGCAACAGTGCAGTTTCCTATGTAACCATAGCACTAGTGGTACCCTTTGGTGGCAGAAGCCTCAGTCCCTGTCCCAGGTGCAGAACTATGCTCATGATTTGGTCATTAGTTTTCCCAAGAGTAAGATAGGAGCCAACACTCCCCTTTCTCCTGTCACTGAGGGAAAGCATGAACAGCCTCCTCCCACACAGCAGCCCCTTGGCCCAGGTCTTCCGGAAGTGGGCTAGGGGAAAAAGGGTTCGGGCAGAAGGGCTCTCTCTCCTTGTGTAACCACATCCAGAGCGCAGGAAGTGGCATGTTCAGCAAAGGAAACCAGTCTCCGGAGATAAGCGACCGTTTTCCAGAAAAGAAAAAGGGTTTAGCCACAGGTTCCTATGGACCACATGCCCCTGTGCTTTGCATCCTCGGGGCTCATGAATGTCGGCTGCTATTTCTTCCCCTCCCTGTTTTGGTGATCTAGTTAGGTTATGCGTTACTCTTCAACACAAGAAAAGATCAAGTATTTAGCGTTTAGGAAGGTTTTGTTTTTGAAAATCATTGTCTGCAAAGTTAAAATAAGCAAACACCAGTGAATTGCATTGATGGTTTTGAAAAGGATACATTTCCAAAACCACTGATAGACCCAAAGCAGTGCAAATGGCTTTCCAGCAGGCCTGGGAGTGCACGTTCTGCTACACACCACTTCCTCACTAGTGCACGGACTTGCAGCCCTGTCACCAGCTTATTTATTCAGGGTTGTCGGTCCCATTGTGATGTTGGTGTTTAGAGGTAATTATTAATGTTACTATTAATGTAGCCATTAGTGTACAGATGAGCTACATAGAAAACTATGATGTTTCTTTCTAAATGCCTTATGGTTTTTATGCCAGCATATCTGATGTAAATATTTCATTTTTTGAAACATAATTTAGTATTTTTAAAATTTGCATTATTTACATTAAGATATTAATTCCACAAAGATTTGACTGCTTATTGCCTACAAATTAAGAAATATTATGAAACTAAAGTTTATCAGGCTAGTAGTTTAGATGCTTCAAGCATCTAGGGTCAGTTAAAAAGCATTGAATCTTATTTTACCTTTCATATTTTGAGATGCAATTATGAATCAAAGTGATTGAAAGCAGGTATTCATTAAGTAGCAGGAAATTTCAAATGTGAGATTATAAAATATTCTCAATCTTAATTTCTAGAAAAAAGTTAAATGGAACTTATTACTAAAATAAGATATATACATTTATAAGAAAATGCTAAATCACAAATGTTTTATAAATATGTCACATATATCTCAAGCTCAGAACTATTAAATGAGTTATTTTATATTTTATTTCATTAATAAGAATTTAATAATGGATAAAACTCAAGAAGAAATAAGACTCTAAATAAAGATAATCTCTAATGAAATTTTCTGCCCTCATTTTGCTTCCAGCTTTAAGGTGACTCTTCCCCCTTTATAATTTAATTTCAAAGTCTACTCATCTGTTTGTGCTTTTATTTGTGTATCATCTGCGATGATTTAACTTCAAGGCACTGAACATAGTGCAGTACATTTCCTTTCTAGGTAGTTAAAATGGGTCATAAACTCTTCTACTTTCCAAGTCTAATTAATTGAGAGATGTTGTTTTAGGAAAAATTTAAGGAGCACTTGAATCTAAAAGCAACGGAGAACAGTAGTACCTACTTTCAGTGTTTAAATGCTATACCGCATTTCTGTTTGAATTTTTCTTCTCCAAAAAAGTGTTTTGACATTTTTTAAAACTGCCAAGGCTGGGATGTAGCTCAGTGGTAGGACATCACAATTTGCTCGAGGCCCTGGGTTCAAGCCAAAGTGCTGCAAAAGATGAATAAATAAGTAAAGCTTTCCTATGAAATGTAGATAAGACAGTTTTAGAAATTTGCAGAGGCCGGGGATTTAGCTCAGTGGTTTTTGCCGCCTGCTGCACAAGCACAAGGACCCGAGTTCAATCCCCAGTACCAAAAAAAAAAAAGAAATGTGCAGAAAACACTGACATAAATTTGAGGTATTATATGACCAGATTATGTGTTCCTTGGATTGATGTATTGCCAAAGATGTATAGAAAAACAAAAAAATAAGAAATTCAGTAAAATGTAAGTATTCACTTAGACACTGCTTTATAGTTTTTCCTTCAGTTTTTAAATTGTATAAGTCACCTTAGAATGTAGTTTTGCCTGTATATTTGACTCTTCAGTAAATGTGTGGTTGACATTTGTGTGGAGCTGATAAATACATGCTTAGCTGTGCTGGGAGTCCATTAGGTGCTAACGGTATTGATATTCTCATTTATATCTTGCAATCTTTTTTTTTTTTTTTGCAGTTTTGCTAAAGGGAGGAAAAAAAGAGGAAGAGAAACCATTTAGAGACTGTGCAGATGTATATCAAGCTGGTTTTAATAAAAGTGGAATCTACACTATTTATATTAATAATATGCCAGAACCCAAAAAGGTAAAACCAGAAGTGTTTGTTTATGAGATGTAAAGCAGATGCTAGTTGGATTGCTGGATGGTCAGATTGATTTGTGAGCTTGTTAAAGCACATGTATGTGTGTCTACTCCTGAGTCCTTTCCCCACGATGATGCCAACTCCTGAGTCTGGGGTGAAGCCCCTGTTGGCAGGCCTCCTCCGGCCCCTGCACCTCCCTCCTGTATTCCTGTCAACTTGCCTTTCTTTCTCTGCTACTCTGGGTGCCCTATTGCTCTGGGTGTGTGTCCTGCCAGACTGCACATGGGGGCCACATCCCCCGAGTGTGTAGGGGAGCTCGGTGCCAACTGCTGGTCTGAGGACCCGGGCACAGCACTGACCCTCTGAGTACCGAGGGGGCAGGGTGAGCAGCCCCTCCCAAAGTGGGCAGAGCACACCCTCTCTCAGTTCACCATCTTGAAGGCTTGTGTGTCCCTTTTACATGGAAGAGTGGGTTGGAGGGGATGCCTCCTCCATGAGTCGCACAGGCCGGAGTTGGCTTCCCACTGTCCCACCCCAGGCTCCCTCCCTGCAGTCCACTCTGCCTGATCAGTGGGTGGCTCACCTGGGGTTCACTGTCCAGGGCCTTGGGTATGAAGCCAGCAGCTCCCCGGCCAGTGTGCACACTGGCCCTCACACCCCATACCCATAAAACCCCGATTGCTCCAGAGGTGCACATACTCGAGCTGGGATGGGAATGCTGTGAGGTGAGTCCGTGGAGGGGCTGGGACCCGAGGCAAGCGCCCTGCTCTTCAAGACCAAGACGGACAGTTGAATAGATGCCAGCCCGAGGCACCCTGCCCTCACAGGGCAGCATGGCTTTCACCCCGAGGGCCTCCCTGAATCCCCTGTCCCTGCTGATGTCCCCTGAGCCCTGCACACAGTGCTGCGTGACTTTCTCTAAGCCAGAGCAGAGGTGGCAGGGACTGAGCTCGAGTGGTTGCTGCACAGTGCATGGCCTACTGGTGTCCTCCATTCTCCTGTGTGGCCCACAGTAGGTGAGTCAGCCTGACACCTTTCTTAGGCCAGCTGGTTTTCCAGGCATCACGAAACTGCCCTGACGGGGATCCTGGATGCCAGTCCAGGCTCTCAAATGCCAATCTCTTTCTGCCGTCATCCTCTCCTGATTTCAGGATCACTGGACTAGTGATCACAGGCAGCGCCTTATCTTCCCTCTTTCCTAGGACAAAATGTTCTTCTTAAGAGGCCTTCAGTGTTGTCCTGCAGCCGGGCAAGGGACAGGGTGGGCATGACGGGAGGGAAGCAGAACTCTGTGCTTTGCCACCTGAGCCCCCAGGAGGGAAGTTTGGCTTGGGCAAATTTTCATTTGGGATTCCGAGCAGGATTTCCTTTCTCATGGGCTCCACGACTTAAAACTAAACACAAGACCCCACAGACACTGCAGAGATGCAGTGGGGGTCTGGAGCGAGGAAGGAAAGGAGAACGCATGGTGAGGAGACTTTCGAATGTCCTGAAATCATAAGCACACTTACACTTAAATTCACAACATGTGCACACACACACACTATACCACACCACATAAATGTGTGAACAACCTTCCCGAGAGGGAAAGGAGCAGAAATAAATCACCCCCCAGCTTCACAGTGCTGCTGTCCAGGACCCAAAAGAGCCCTTGTTCGGTGTCGGCTGTCCCGTAGCTTATGACTCAGCGGCAGAAATGAAGTCGCTCCTACTGATACACGAATGTAAAAACACAGTCACGTAAAAGGCTTTCAGGCTGAGAATCTTCAAATTTTAGAAGTTTTTACTCCATCACCAGGTGGCCCTTGGGGACAGAGGTCAACATACGTGAAGTGCTGCTCATTGTATGCACTCGGAGGCACAGGTGTAAACTCGGAGAGAGGTGCTGCTCAACGCCACAGAAAACACCGTGGGTGCCAAGCCAGCGCAGCCTGTGTGCAGAGACCCTATTCCTGTCGAGGTGGCAGAAGTGTTCTCGTCCCCGCTTCTCAGGAGCCCTTTCCGTATTTACCTAGAAATTAGGTCTGCAGGGCTCACCTAATTCGTAAGTTCATGGCTGGCACTGGGTTATTTCCATCAAGAGAGAAGGATGTAAATCATGCTTCTACATGATGGTGGATCTTGTGTAAAATGGAGCTTCAGAGTTGTTCTTGAATAAATAAAATCTAAACATGAAATCCACAGTACTGACAGTCTCCTGGGGAGGAAAGAAGTCCACAGGGCCTGGTCCAGGTGATCCTTAGGCTGAGTTTTATTGGGAAAAACCAAACTGTAGCAGAATGTGGGGTGAGAGGTGCCGAGCTGAGGGGAGAGATGCAGGGTCCCCTCCGGGCTTGGGGTCCCTTCTGCTTTCTTCTGCCCCCTTGTGTCACAGAGACTCTCAAAAGGAGTAACTGCTTTATTATCCAAACTGAGGCACTGTGCATGTTTCAGATGAGATGTTTGTTCTGTAGCGCTCATTGTGATTAGACGCTCTTCTGCGTGCAGCGCCTGTGTGTCCCCCTCGTGGCTCTGGACAGCCTGGAGAACGGTGTCCCCCTTGTCCCCACTGGACAGAAGTCCCATGCCCATAAGCACTGGTCCAGACACTGCATATTGGTCAGGAAGTGAAGGTCTGGGTCCGCTCAGCAGGGGCCTGGCATGGTCTTGATTTCCACTCCTGGTGAGGAAAGTTGTGCCATGCGTTCGTTAGTGCCCGGGGATCAGTGGACACATGATGACACCACAAGACCCTCTAATGAGAAAAGTAGACTTGTGTGCTTAGGGTAGCCCCCTCCATCCCAGTCACCAGCCCGCAATTCCACTTTCTGCTCCCACCCGGACATGAGTCCTGGACATTCTCTCAAACTTACATAAAAAGTACTAAGAACAGACATTTTTAAGGCCTTGACCCTTCCAAGTAGACCAGGCATCCTAGATTTTAAAAAGGACCCATAGTACCCTTAGGAAAGCCAAGCAAAGCCTTGTCCATCGTAACCCTCTCAGAAGTTCCCGAGGGGAGAGGCTGAGCACAAACCCTTCAAAACACGAGTGTGTGTGACACGCGACATGGACAGCTCAGTGCACGCGGGCTGTGTGGGGCAATGCACAAATGCTGTCAGCGGGAATGAGTCCCCTTCTGGGCTGTGTAAGAACCACACGTGCGACTGGATTGTTGCTCAGTTACAGTTCTCAGCGGACATTGTTCCATGCCCCAAAAGGAAGTGGTTGTGAAAGGTTGAAAAGTGTAGTCTTTGACTGTTATGTGGAGGCCAGCAGTGATTTTCTAGGATGACTTAATTTTTCAAGCAGATAGAAAATGAGAATTCGACCTTTTACATCTTCCCTTTTGCTTTCATAGTATTCGTGGCTTGTGGTTATTTTCTTTCTGAATTCCCGTGGATGGGTTGTAGTAGGAAACAGGATTTTTTCCCTCTTATTTCTTAAGTTTCTAAAACCAAATGCCCCTATAGCTAGTTCACTTTCATCCAAGAAAACAGACCATTAAATCCTAACTCTTACTGTAAAATATTAAAAATTTGTTTCTAAACTCATAATTCCCCTCATTCTTGGAAAAGGGCTTTAGCAAATGTGTTGAGCCTTTTTCCTTTGAGGTTATGGAAAAATAATTAACATCCACAAGGCTAGTCATTCCAACTTGTATGGAGCATAGAAGCATAAAAACTATGTGAATCAAATTTCCCCTTTTGTTTGTGTTTAAACCTCTGTATTATGTTAAAAGGTGGTCAGTGCTTGAGAGCTTTGACCTCACCTGGGTCCAGAGCCAATCCTGTCCTTTCTTGGAGGGACTTAGCCCAAGTCACATGAAGGACACAAGCACCAGGTCCCCTCGTCCTCAGGGGACAGCAGAGCTGCAGACCCTGCTAAGCCAGACTTCTAGGTCCAGGAGCTTCCTTCACAGAGAGATGTCTTTTGGCCTGTCTGTTAAATAGCAGTTGCTTTTGCAGAAGAGAATCTAACTTCTTAAATAGATACCTAGTAAAAGGTAGAGTGATCAAAGATGAGGGATGCCAATGTTATTAACAAGAATTCTCATCATAATCATAAGGAAAGTCCATTGAATTCCTGGCTGTTTTGATTTTGTATATTGCATATTATTGTAATAAATTATAAATAACGTACACCATTGCAATTTATAGACAATAATCAAAATATAAGATATTAAGTACAATGCATTAAATATTGGTTCATATTAAATAATATTAAATTAGTACAATACACTGTCGTATACATACAGTAGATAATGCATAATATAAGTATGTATCTTCTTCTCTGGGAGACGTATCTAAGAGATAGGCATTGACAAAGCCCACTGCAAGCCCAGCACTGTGCTCAAACCTCTATGTGCAGCGACTCCTCTGATCCCCACCTAAGACTGGCCAGGCGGAGCGAGCTAGGGAGCGAGCGAGGTAGGACTTGGATCAGAACAAGGCAGTCTCCAAGCCCCACCCCTCACTGAGTCCTCCAGTTCTCTTGTGCCGCTGTCCACAGATGGCAGCCGTCACCTCCCTGCTGCCGAGTCTTTGTGGAGTTCAAAGCCCTGCACCCGTCTCTGCCTGGCGATTGCTGCCTCCATGGAGCTCTGCTTTCTCTGGTCTTCATCTGAGTGCAAGCCCAGACTTCTTCACTTTTGTGAGTCACTCAGTGCCTGGTAGACGGCAAGCTGTCTTTCTTGAAAATTTTTGATTTTCAAACAAAGTGCACAGAATTTCAATAGCGAGGAACAGTCATTAATAGCCATACAGCATAGTTTGCTCCACACGGTCTATATTTATAAATGTAGTGATTCTTATGCTGAATATATAAGTGGACTTCATAATTTGCAAACAGTTTGGCAAACTTTCCATTAGGAAATAAAAATCTCTAAGAAGGAAGACAGGAAGGAAGGGAGAGAAGGGGCTTTAGATTAACCAGTTAAGGCAAGGTAAAACTGAACTGAGGGATTAGTGGTGCCAGTGTCCCCTAGAAAGGTGCTTCCTTGACATCTCACTTCCCTTTACTTGATTTGAATTTCTCTGGGAAATTCGACCTGGCCTCTTCTCTGGAGTCACGGCCCGCCCGCCGTGCCTATCTGCACCGCCCTGTGATTTGACTCCCACAGGAGTCCTGCACTCTCTCTCTGGCCAGGTCCCAGTGCCCCTTCATTTCAGATGTACATGCAGATTTTCATCATCTTCATTTTCCTCAGCTTCTCTCGAGCCCTTGATCCACTTCATCACTGCCTCAGCTCAGCACTCACCCCCAGCTTTTTTGCACTGCAGTATACTGTCACATTTTCTTATTTTATCATATTGCATCTGTATTTATTAAGCCAGTTAATTTAGGGCCCACGAGAAGCTAAGCATTGTCCCAGGCACTGGGGAGAGCAGCTGTGACCCCGGAACCGCCCTGTCTGATTTCCTTCAGTTGTCACGGAGTCCGTGCGGGCTCTGCTCCCCAACCTTCTCACATAGCTCCAGACACCTCTTCCTTTACTCTTCAGCTAAGGCACCATCTGCACTATGGCCAGCTGCATCTTCCAAGCAGATTTCTCCCCCAAATCCTGAGTTACGTAAACATAGCTTTCAAATCTTAAACCCAGTCTAAATCCTGGATCCAGTGTGAATCATTAAGTATAACCATCTGCAAATTACCCAAACACTCTAAACCTCAGTTTTTTCATCTTTAAAATGGAAAGAATACCCACATCTTTAAAAAGCTGTGAGATGCAGTTAGGGAATGGATATGCATTCCATGGACACCGAGGGTTCTTTTCTTATCCCTTACTCTCTTACCCACGTTGATCTGCCTACCTCCAGTAGGTCAGCTCTGATCACTCAGTAAGCTCAATGAGCTCTCTTTCTTAAACCTTCCACTTAAATCTTGGTCTTTGTTGTCCTTCAGGCCACTAGAGTTGAAAAGGATGAACTCCAGTGTCTCCTTCACCCTATGAAACAGTTATTATTGAAATCTTGAGGTGCTTTGAGGACATGATCCATATTTCATTCATCATAATGTCCTCCGTTGTGAAACAGACGCAATGCCCAAGAATGCTTGTTGATGAAAAGAATAACTGAGGGAATAAATTAGAATTAAGTAGGATGAAAGCCTTGCTCGGGGTCATGTTGAGGACAAAGAGCAGATGAGATTATGAAAGGATTATAGAAGGAGGAATGGGAAAGGGAGAACTTAGCATTATAGTCTTGGAGCTGAGTCAGTTTCTGAGTCTGGAGGGTGGGTGGCTGCTGTTGGAGAGGAGGGAAAGCCTCGGAGAGCAGGAATCCTGTCCCCGTGCCACAGGCACTGGGTCTCAGCTCCTCTGGCTTAGGGACTTCTGCTCCGAATGGCTGTCACCGTGGCTCTCCGCCGTGGCCATTGTGCTTCCTGTGCAAGGCCTCAGGGGATGCTGAGGTCCCCTTCGGTCAGAGCCGAGAGCTGCACTGTCCCTGCCTGCTGACTGCGCTGCGCCCTCGCCACACCCTCGGCCCCCTTCAGCACGCTTCCTTCTTCAGCTGGGAGTGGGGCCCCCACCCCGGCCCTGGAGTGGCCCGTGCCTTGTCGGGCAGACCCTGCGGGGAATGCGCCAAGTTTTAGATAAATACCATTGTATCTAGAATAATTGAAACAAGTGTTAAGTCTTCGAAAGATATCTATAGCTTTTCCACGTGGGAAAGAAATGCTTGTCACAATCAGAAGGAATACAGTGCATCATGTTTGCCTCTTATCGTTGATGACTAAAAGCTAAACAAACAATGTGCTCTTCATGTGCGAAAGACCAAATTTTCCCTCTGATGTAACACTGAGCAATCAAGAATAAATATCATACCATGTAAGTATATAGGAGTTATGCAATAAAATAAGAAATAGTAAAATCTGTGTAATTTTTAAAATTGTTTTTCCCAAACCATTATTCTTATGGTATTACCATTTTAATAGAAGATTTATAAATGTTGACTCTTATGTTTTGGTCATAAAATGCTGTGTAATTTTGGAAACTGTAGTAGTTATTTTAAAATTTAAACTGTTTCCATTTCAGATGACGGTACTTTTTCATTGCTTTGTAGTTTGAGATTGAGACTATTAATTTTCACTTGACTGATCTAAAATTTTAAAAGTAATTAACGCATTATTGATGGACTTTATTCAGAGGCAACTCAGATATGAATTATGGGAAGAAAAACCAATAACAATCTGCTAATATTTTCCAGTGTGCTTACATTTTTTTTTCTTCTCATGGGCCTACCCATACTATTTCTGTTTGGAAACGTATCAGGCACGTGTTTCTTTAAAATAAGTGTAGTTTTCACTTGCCTCTATTTTCCTTTTGTCAGGTATTTTGCAATATGGATGTGAATGGGGGAGGCTGGACTGTAATTCAACATCGGGAAGATGGGAGTCTAGATTTCCAAAGAGGCTGGAAGGAATATAAAATGGTAAGATGGAAGAATTTACAGTGGTTTTTCATGTTTTATCTCAAGGCTATCTTCACTTTGGATGATAAGTTTTGCATTTTTAGATGCATTTGAGTTATTTGAAGAATAAAATGGTGCTTACATTAAGGACATTATTTTCATTAGACATAAAACACTCATAAATCATTTTCGGTAAATGATTTCCATGTGTGCATCAGGAAGAAAAACGTATCACTGAGTATTTGATGAACCATTGTGTGTTGTCTGGATTTGTGCCCTGGTGGAGGGAGGGAGCGGGGAGTGGGACACAGCCCCTGACAGGCCTCATGAGCAAGGAGGGAGCTGTGCGGTCTGCAGGTCACCCACAGGATGGGCAGGAACTGTGGCCTCTCTCACATGGGGGCAAGTCGAAAGCAGATCCCACCACAGGACCTTCTCACATGCTGGGTAGGCTTCTCCAGGTGGGTGGCTCCATTATCAGCCTGCTCTGGCTGTGGTTGGCATCCCCAAGCATAGGGGAGAAGCTCCCAGTCCTACTAGATGCAGAAAGGCACCATGATGCTTCTGCTGCTGGTCAAAGTTGGTCAGAGTCCAATGTAGGTCAGGGAGGAAGGACTGCTCAAGGGTGACCATGGCAAGACAGGGTCCCCGAGGTCTCTGGAGTGACACAGACACCTCATGGCTGTCTTCCAGCATTCGCCGTGTGTTGCTCCTGCACTGGAGTTCTTACCTAGTTTTCACACCGAACTTGTTGACTAAAACTAGCCCTACTTCAGGAGGAAAAGAAGTTAGGGAGATCAGCTTTTCCAAAATGAAATAGCACCCTCGCTTCTCCGCCTTTTGGCTAAGATCAGATGTAGTATCAAAATGAAATAGCGCATGATTGAATTCATCTGTAATCCAGTCAGAATCCCACATCAGTGCCTATAATATTATTACCCACTGGACTTGCTGGTGGGGTGTCCAGGTGCAGCGATGGGCAGACTAATAATATCAGATGGACTGATTATTATTACTTTACATCCAGCACTACTGGATAATTCCTATCATGATTTTTTGACAAATCCCTCTCTCTGACAGTAGAAAGAGAATAAATGGTGAAGAAGTGCAAGCCCAAGTTCTTCCTTGATCTCCTTGTAGACAGGTATATACAGCGGCTGGTGACATCGCAGTTCACACAGAGCCAACAAAGAGTTTTAATAAATCCAGGGAGGTCTCCAGTGTCGCTCTGTCTGCAACATGTTTGTGAGGTACTAGATCGAGCACTTTGAATGCAGGTTAATAGTTTGGAGTTATGCAAAGTTGGAGTCTTGGAGTCTTAATGTTACTCAAGACAGAAGAGTAGGCTGAAGCCAACAAGATGTAATTAATTACACAGAGAAAATTGTAAAATCTTAGCTCAAATATATAAAAAATTAACTATATAAGAATACAGGGTAAAGGTGACAAAGGGTCTGAAGAACTCAGTATTTTGAAAAATGGGGAGATTTATGTGGCTATAAACTCATTTTGTGTCATTGGCCAGGAAAAATCAAAGACTGATGTACTTAGTCTACATTCACCATGGTTTTTAGGTCATAATAATGCAAACTCTTCGGTATCTGCCACGATCTGATAACATTAAAATTATGCTTTCCATTTTGGAGGTTTCAAAAAGTGAACTATTCTAGAGGTTACAGTAGAGTGTAGAACTCTGGAGACCGTGAACAGTTGGGGCTGTTTAACATGGAGAAAAAAGGTGTGAGTATACACCTGTCTGAGAGCTATTTTAATGAACTGTGCAGAAGAACTCAGCCCAGAGTCTGCAGCTCACAATGTGGGCCAGGTACTGGCACCATCTGTGGCCCTGGCACCTCACAGAGACAGCCGGTCCCACTGAAGACCATCTGCATCGTAACCCTGCTTTAGGAGAAGCTCCGTGATGGCACAGGGACGTCGCCAAGAGGTACAGCTTGGCTAGGCAGGAGCAAAACTCTCTGATGTTTAATTCTTTTTTTTTTTTTTTTGGTACTGGGGATCAAACTCAGGACCTTGCTCTTACAAGGCAGGCACGGTGCCACTGAGCTAAATCCCGGCCCACTGATGTTTAATTCTTTCTAATAAGAAATGAACTTCCTGTTAAGTGGCAAGCCCTCTCCCTCTGCAATGCAAAGAACCCAGCATAATGTGGTCTTGTCTTTCAGGGTGGTTATGGAAAATTGGAATATTAGGTCGGATTCTAAGACCCCCCTTCTGCCTGTGTGATCCTGTAAACACATGGGAGGAAATTGCCTACGTTTTAGAAGAGGACCTTGAATTACACCTTTATTAATAGGTTGAGTCTTTCCTCTGCCATTTTCAAGTGGATTGACTTTTAGTAAATCACTTAACCTACACATGGGCTTTCTTTCATTCATCAAACAAGGACAATAGTAATACCCACCTACGTTCAGGGATATTGTAGGGATTAGAAGTAATACAAGGAAAGCACGTTGGCACACTGGATTTTTTCAAAAAACAGTAGTTATTAATATTATCCTGGATTAAAACATCACAGTGTAAAATTTTTACTTAATTCTGCCAAAAGTGTTATTTTTCAAAACACTTTAATTCATTATTATTTTCACCATGAAAATGGGATGTAGAGAAGTCATCTGATAATCAGACCATAGATATAGATTCAGACAATTCTGAAATGCATGATTATTAACATTAAGGGTAACAGAAAAGTGCATATGAACTTATCATCACTGTGATTTTGCTGAATGGTAAGTTACTAGCTATAAACATCTGCTGCCCTGGAAGGCCAGGCAGGTTAAGTAAGAGATACTGACTTGCTAAGTGTAGAATTGATTTGTGTCTTTTTAAGTCTTTACCAAGTGTATCCACTTATAAGAAATTCTTTTTTCATTATTGGAACAAGATTGGTATTCTTTAATCATAGTGTTTATGGCATTACCCTCTCTTTTGTTTTACAAAAGAAAGACTATCACACTTTATTCGGACTTGAAAAGCTTATCCCCCCCAGAGTCAGTTCTTCAGGATCAGAAAATGAGATTAGCTCCAAGTTTCTGAAGCAGTCTGGTGAAAAATGATGACAATGTTTTTTTAAATTAAAAAAGGTTCATCAACTGCTACAACTTGGTTAGCTTTCACCGAAACACATGGTAAAAATTGAGCTGTTTCCTCCATAGCTCTTCTTTTCCTTAAAGACAGAAATGATTCCATCAAGAAGGGATATAGACTGCTGATACCAATTCTCCTCAGTGCCTCCCACTTCCGTTTTCGGGCTGTTCACTGCATCTTACAGTGCCGTCCTCTGGGAAGAACAGACCTTACTTACCACCACACGCCTCTTCCTTCTCAGTCCCCACTAGTCTGCTTCTGGGTGGACCAGCAGGCTGCACCCTTCCGGGTTCTGAGGGTAGCAACGTGTTTCACCCCTCCTTTGTTCCCTTTCCTCCCACTGTCCTGCATGCTGGTTGGTATCTGTGGGCTGCCTCTCGCCTCCTGTTTCCAGAACTCTGTTTGAGTTATTAACACATGAATTACAAATATGTGTTACAGATCATCAGCATTACTTTTGAACCTCTTGCACCACCGAAGCCTTTCGATTTTCGTGGTTCTCAATGTCAACTTTAAGCCTGTACAAGTCTCCTCCCTGTGTTTTATTTTCTCTTACCCTTCCTTACCAGAAGATCCAGCAAAATCTAGTTTGTAAAGATGTCTGCCTGGAGGGAACTCTGGAGGGGGCTTCTGCATGGGGCACTTACCCCTGTATTAACTCCTTCCAGTCGTAAGATACCTGCAGCAATAATGCTCTCAGCAGAGCTTTTACATATGAAGCCCGAGGAAGCCGGCAGTTCTCAGTAGTACCCTAAGTGACCTCACCCTCACTCTGTAACAGGCCATGGTTAATGCCCGAGACACACTTGCTTTGTTTTGGAAACAGTCATCCCCCCCAAACAGCTTGCTATTAATACGGACATTTCAGCTGAAGCACCATGTCTTCTGGGAGCTCTTGGTTTGTGCAAAGAAGTCAAGAGCTCAATTTTAAACTGCATTTTAACATTAAAAGGAGAAAAATATATAAGAAATTAAAAACTTGGAATGAAATATTTCTTCCAGGCTCTCATGTGCAATTAGAGGAGACCCTTCTGATTCTGGCTCTAATTGTATATTAAAGCACCCTTGAAAAGTCATAGCTCAGTATCATCCGTTTTCTTTAATAATTTCTGTGAAAAAAGATGATACTTGTAGAAGCCAGAGACTGTGTCTGGTTTCAATTTTGTTTCTGCTATAAAAAGTCAACACTTCCTGTGAACATTATCAGACAAAACAAATAAAGTACTAGAGACAATTATTTTATTAACTTTGGAAAAACCACAACCCAAAATTGAACATTTCTGCCGGTTTTGGCAAAACTGAATAAATTTCAGTCTTTATCTTGAATGCGTTTTTTTAAATACAATGTGCTTTTAAAGGCCAATTTTAAGTCACCATTTTTCTCAGTTAAGTTTCAGTGGGGTTGTTTTGGTTGGTTTTTTTTTCACTTTTACTAAACTATGACAAGAGAAGCAAAATTGATGAGCAATGCATCTGAAAGATGGAGTCTTTCATGTGATTTGATTGCCATAAATAAACAGCAGTTTTCAGGAAAGTATATGGCAGCACAGTGTCATTCATGAAAAGGAAGAAATTTTGTTATTCCTGTTGCTCATTCATTTCTGCTTTTTAAATCACCAGTGCAGAGTTTTGTAACCGATTTTCTCTTTGTTTTATGGGTGTTACAGGACATTTAGGGTGGAATAGAGCCCCGAGGTAGCTGTGTGTGCTGTGCTGCATGAGCAGTGTTCTGAGATGAGTGTTGACCATCTTCATGCCTGATGTGTGGCCCCGCATGAAGCCAGGGTCCTGTGGCTGCCTTGCTTGGGTCATTTTATGTGATCGGCATGTTCTTCTAGCTTGCACTGGGGACAGTTATCCAGCCCACACCATGTTTATACGGCTCGCCACCTTGCACACCTAAGTGCATGGATCTCTAAGTCCACTTCAGCCACACCAGTACTCAATCCACATCTCCAAGGGAAAACTAAGTGTTCTCCTCTTTAAAAGGCTCTGCAGCTATTTCTGATACATGCTTCTTGTTGAGAACTGTGAAGTGTGAGACCTTGAAATTTCCTCTTTTGTAGATCCTAAAACTTGTGAGATGTGGAGAGAAGGGGAATAAAAGAAACTGGGCCAAAGGGAGTTGAAGAGACAGGTATTGCCGCATTAAGAAGCAGAGCTAAGGGCTGGGGTGTATCCAGCGATAGAGTTTTGCCTAGCATGCACCAGACTCTCAATTTGATCTGCAGCTATGAAAAAATAAAAAGAAGATACTCTCTGCTTTCATTTTACTGTTGTTTAGCTCCCTTTGCAATCAGCTTGGTCTAATTTTTTCCTTAATAATGAACTTTTTAGATTACAATCAACATGTTTTGCATGAATTAAACTTGCCATAACAATACATTGGTCTCTAATGTCTAGAAGCCTTTTGAATAATTATTTCAATTAGTCTTTATTAATTTTCAGTAAAGAGAAGAGCCTGGAATAGTTTGTCCCTTTCTCCTACAGAATGGGAAGGACCCAGCTCATGCTATGTAGCCCAGTCTCATGGAAGAAGAGGCAGCTAACAGAATTCCTGAGAATTCTGATATACATGTGTGGCTCTGGGTTCAGTCTCCAGTACTGGTAGCCTAATAAAAGGGGGGAGGGGTGTGACTGTAGAAGTGTACACTCATTTGTTAATGCATTGCGTTTGACCTTAAGTATAAAATTGCATATTCATTTACCCATTTTTCATGTACAGCCGTAGCCTGCGATTCTGGGTCAACGGTCCTTCAGTAACACTTTGCCAGTGGACCCAACCTCTACCTTCACACTGAAGAGAGAACAGTGCTCACGGTGCTGGACAATGCATGAGTTAAAAGCCCTCTGAAATTCTACTGTTTTCCCCACTCTTTTAGAGTGACTGCAACTCTATTTTATTGATTTGCTTTTACTGAGCAAACCTAGATATTTAAGTTAGGCTTAGTAGAAAGCAAAACGAGCACCCCTCCCCCAGGAATGTTAAACTTACTTGCCCAGCATGTCATCGGTGCTGTCGCTAGAAGGGCAGGTGAGGGAGCAGGCTTGGTGACAGATGCCACTGGCCTCCTGTGAGCAGCTCCACTGGCAGAGCCAAGGGCACAGTGAATGTGGTGCAGGCTCAGTGCACACTGTGCCCATGGATTATATGAAGGGGCACGGGAAAGGATCCATGTCTCAGGTCAGTTAAAGGAGAAAGTGCTTAAGAAAACTTCTACTGCCACTGAAATTCCATACAATTGATATACATGTAGTTTGAAAGGAAGCAAGGTTTTCCGAATTCTGTCATCTGTTTTGAGACAGTAAGGACTGCTGTGGCTCTTAGTGGCTCCCTACTCTTCCCAATATAGATTAAGCCTCCATGACAAACAGGCCAGTTAGCCAGGCTTTGTTTCTTTGTGAACATCAGTGCGCGTCTCCTGTGCAGGAGGCGGATTGTGGATGAGCCCAGATGCAGACCATGTGGCTCTTCCGTAGACACTCGATTCAGCACAGAGCCCAGGGCTGTTTTAACCAGAACCCCAGGGATTATGATTCAGTTGGGCAACCAGACTCCACCTCTTTGTCTGCACAGAAGTGTGCTTTGAGGTCACTTCTCAAATGTTGGTGCAAAGTGCTGTAATATTTTGTCTCCTTCTTTCCTTTCTTCCTTCTCTCCTTCCTCTTCCCCCCCCTCCTCCCTTCCTTCTCTCTCCTCTTTGCTTTGAGTGCCAGGTGTATGCCAGCTCCTCCTCAGTGTGTGAAGTTCCACAAACACAGCACAGCCTGACTTCTGGGTCAAGAAGGGAAACACGTAGACAACAGTTAAACTGACCCTTGAATACAACCAAGGAGTTCTTTCTGAAGCAATTGTGAATATCCAAAATGTAGAATGTTTAGGGTTCTTTATTTCCCTATCGCTATTATTTCCAACATTAAGAGCTGGCCCATGTTTGGGGACCACATTTTTCCTTCTATCAGAGAAATGACCTTGGATACTTAGCAACCATGTCCAGGATTTCTCCAAAGTGAACAGTGGAGCCCTGAGGCCGAGACAGTCAGCTCACTTCACTGGCAGCTCTTAGGATTCACCCCTGCTTAAAGTCGAGCCCATGCCCCGAAGCTGTGCAGGGGATTATAGTAATCATGGGTTCAAGGGCCTGGGCTTATTAACCAGAAAAACATTGAAGATGCTAAGGCAACGAAAGTCAAGTCTGCTGATCTATAAAGTTACAGGATATCAACTGGATTCCTGAGAAGTAATAACAACAAAAATTATTCCATAGTTTGTCTGATACCACCTTGATACTATTCATTGGGAAAGTTTTAAGTTAAAGATATTAATTAATATTTTAGAAATTTTTTCCAAAACAATCTTTGATTTGAAGAGTGTTTTCTTTTTGAACCTATCAACCAGTTTGATTTAATTGAAAAACATCTCATCCATGTGAATCTGACTAACAGAAGTCTACTATGATCACATTCAGACATTGCCTCAATGGAGAGAAATACAGCAGGAGAGCATGGAATAAGTCAGTCATTGCAAAAAGGTTGCAAACTCTGGAAGACTCGTCCGTACGCTGAGAGGCATTGATGTTACTATTCAGAACCTGTTCCAGGCTGCACTGCAGGCCTTGCCCAGTAACCTCTCCTCCTCCCCCAGGGCTTCGGGAACCCATCCGGTGAGCACTGGCTGGGGAACGAGTTCATCTTCGCCATCACCAGCCAGAGGCAGTGCACGCTGCGCATCGAGCTGCTGGACTGGGAAGGCAACCGCGCCTACTCGCAGTATGACAGATTCCACATAGGGAACGAGAAGCAGAACTACAGGTAGGCGCTGGGGCGGGACCTTGCCTGGCACCCAGCAGGCGAGAGAAAGCAAACGCAGCTTCAGAGCTCTGCTTCAGGGCGGTGCCAGCTCCCTTGAAGCAGCACCTAGGGGTGCTGGGGCGATGGGACAAAGAAGGGTGGCAGTCATCCTTTGAGATGAAGGTCAGGGTGTCTGGCCGGGGGCAGAGGCAGGCAGAAGGCCTGGGAAGGCATCTGCAAGGCGTTCATTCCATCTCTGTACCCTGTGACCTCTGAAGCGGGTCCAACTCCTAGAGGAAGTGTGGCGCTGCTGGGCGGGCGCTGGGTCCCACAGAGCAGAAGCCAGCAGGCTCCGGCTCGGGACCAGCGATCTACCAAGAGGTGTCCCAGTTCTGTCTCCTTTACTGTTTGCTCACATTACCTTGAAGATGTCAAGAGCAAAACTGAGTGTCATGAAATGTTTGAATGATTGGCATAAAAGGGGAAAGAGACATAATTAAGTGGGTTTCTTCTTTAAATAAAGAGCAAAAATAAATCCAAATAACAGTATCAGTATACACAACATATCACTGAAATATAAAAATAAACTAACACTTAATTTTAAATGTTTCTGATTATTTTTCTAGATGAGTGACTTGTACATTAGAAAAAAGATTTAAATGACTCAGGAAAACTGTGATGTGATATTCGATTCCATGAACGCTTAGTGTGTCACTCCTGTGTACCTGGAACTGACTCAGGGGCGAGGTCCCCAGTGCTCTGGACCTGAGGTCCAGCTTTGCTGCTGTGGGGTTCATGCAAACCTGCTTGGCATTTTGGAGAATGGGGTATTGTAGTTGTTCTTACAGCACTAACCCTTCATGCAGTACTTGGCACTTAGCAAGTCCTTGATTAGCTCTCAAAACTGTGACTGTGTCTCTCATAGAAACGTGATTCTGTGGGTGACACAGCCTCCACAGATTGCAGTGATAAAAACCAAAGCCTCGTGCTCTTGGACAGCCTGTGTGGCTATTTCCTCATACTTCAACTGCGTCTATTTCTTGTCTTTTCGAGATATAGCATCCTTTATTATTTTAAATCTGCATCTTTTTCATGGGACAGCTCATTTTGTTTTAATAGATTATGTGTGGGATTGGATCCTTGGAGACATAATCATTTTCTCAACAAATAATGATGATGTCACCACAACAGAAGATGTGAAATAGATCTAAAGACCTGATAGTCTCTGGAGGGGCAGCGAGGGTGGACTTAGTGGCAACTGAAGAAACCAAAGAAGAGACATTCATGAAAAGCAATGAAGTGTATGAAGATGTGTTTCCAAGGAGGTCAATATTTTGAGGGTTTTATAACAAGAAAAGCCACCGTCGAACATCAGGGTGCCCTTATGTAAATGTTTTGACCTGAAACCTGAGACAAGAGGAAACTTGGCCCTTGTCAGACGGCTTGACAATAGGACCCGCAAGTAACTGGCTTCGTCTTCCTCTAGGCTCCTGACGGATTTGCTTTGGCCCCTTTCCAAAATGTCTCTCAGTTCCTTGTGAGTAGCCGCGTGGGCTGTTTCGGGTGTTGTGCACGCATTTGAGCGATGTCCAGGTAGTGCTGGGGGACCGAATCCGGCAGGTTGGGAAGACAGCTGGCCCTGCCGAAGGCCTCGGGGCCGAGGAACACCTCTCCTTCGACCAGGCCTGCGATTCCGGTGCTCACCCATGCTCTAAGATCTACAGTCAGGATCTGGTCGATGGTCAGAAAGTAAGTCTTCCGGCCTCGTAAAGTCTGTGTGTAAGGAAATTATTTTTACACGTCAATCAATTAATACTCCTATTGTCTTTGTGGTAATTATTATCACACATATTTTAAAATGATTCTGATCCATTTATTTCCTCAATTCAACTAAATTCTAACTTAAATTCAATACCAAGGAGTTTGTACTGGGTTTTTTGTTTCAGTGTTTTACATTTTTCATATATTTCCTCTTTTGAATTAAATTCAGAGGGTTTTTTTAAAGGGTTTTATTGTTTAAAAAATTCAGTCTTAGAAATTATGTTTTGAAAATCCTTTTAGCTGTAGTCATAATATACAGAATTAATTTTAAAGACAAGAGAAGATAACCATTCTTATGCCCTAAAACACTGGTTAAAAGTAGGTGTTGTGAGTTAACAGATGAGCTTAAAAATGTGTGTGTGTGTGTGTGTGTGTAATACACACATTTAACTTCTATCTGCTAAGGAGACTTCACATGGTTTTCTCAGATAGGAAAAAAAATCTACAGAATCCAAGGGGTACGAATGAGGGAAAATAATAATGTAAGGGTGTCGCAATAGACGGTCATGTGACACAGCACACGGTCAGTGTCGACCTCTTAAACACCTCCCCGGGGAGGCACTGCTGTCCAGGTCCTTGTCCTCGATTGCCCTGAAGGCTGTGGCCTTCCCGCCTCTCGCCTGGTCAGTCTCAGACGCTGCTTCTACTCCGCTACCAGGATGGCTTTTCCACAGTCCCGCCTGGCCTCTCCCCTCCTTAAGACCCATGGACACGGTTCAGAGACTGCGAGTCAGCACCTGCCCGCCGACTCTCCAGGGCCGGGCCTGTCCCTCTTCCTAACACTGCTGCCTGTGCCCCACTCCCCGCCTACCCTGCTCTTTATGGCTCCATCCCAGCAACCTCCTGAAGTCTTCCAAACCCTCAGGCCTTCCCTTGTGCCGTATCCCTACCCTGCACACGGCTGTGTTCTACATCTCGAAGCTTCTCCCTCATCCCAGGAATGCTAGGGAGTGTGATGAGCCACCCCAGGGCCCCTCAGGACTGAGCTCTCCCCAACTGGCCCCCCTGGGTGCTGCTTTGTGGCCGAGGTGAGTTAGGCCTCCCAAGGGTGCACCCCTCTGCAGGCACTGGTCAGCACAGCACTGTGACATCCCCTGCCCCAGTCAAAGCAGTGGTGAGAAGCCGTGAGGTCTGGATGTGCACTTGGGATGAGCTGAGTTCCGCCCCACCGAGGCTGGGTGTGAGCTCTGCATTTCCCTCTGCTCGGTCCTGTTCCCTCCTGTTCCCCCTGAGCCACCCAAAGTCCCCAACTCTGATTTCCCAGAGAAACATGTCACCTTCATTCTAGGCGAGGGTGGATTCTGTGCTCCCACCGATCCATAATGCCACGAACAGTGATCCAGTGTCCACATTCCACTGTGTCACTGACAAGCGTGTATTAAGTAACTGTTCGTGGAAGCCCACACACATGCCTGAGCAGATTTCTAAGGTATGGGGATAATTTTCATCAAAACTCAAGAGACACGCTTGTCAGGCAAATTATTAAGTGAGAATTGATAGCTAATATTGGGGGAATACACACTGTGTACCAGATATCTTATTTTCCCAACAGAAAGCAGGTATAATGAATACTTTGGTCAGGGGCAGAGGCACTAGCGTGAGTAGGTGTTAGCATTTGAACTTTGGTCTCATCACTGTCTACCACACATATGGCCATTCGTCGGTAAAGGGAAACCCAACAGTTAACTTTGGAAATTAGTGAGCTTATTCCAATATATAGCATCTGGTTCTTCTCACCCCACTTTTCTCTTTAGGACTTTGCATGTCTGTGGAAACACTATCTCACTCTCCAGTTCTCAATTTTCTGTCTTGATGAATTAAAGTATTTATAAAGTTCCTTGCACCTCAAAATTATTTTCTAAAGTTGAATTACTTTTATATATGTATTTCTTTTCTATTTTCATAGTCTTTGAATTCTTTGATAAACAAATTTGTATGTCTCCAATAAATTCTTGAGAGTTTCTATCAATTTAAGAAGCATAGTGGCATTTTATTTCTCATGAAAGCTTTTTGGTCCTAAAACAGAGTTGATAAACAATAGTCATCACCATAAGCGGTACTGAAAAATAACAGGTTAATTGTGGGTTTGCAGAGATGCTATGATCAATTGGAAAAAGCCCTGGAATAAGAATCAGAGTTGCAGATCTGTGAAGAAATCTGGCTTTATCATCTGTAAACAAAAATGGTTCTACCAGTCATGTTCATTCAGGAAAGCAGCCATCATGAGTTATTGTGGACATGAGGCTGAAGCGAACGCATAAAACCTAGCTTGGTGGAGAGGCCAGGGCTCACAGAGAAGCCTGAGAAACAAACACATCCAGTCGAAGGAGCAGGACCACAGAGGGGAGCTCCACAGAACTCGTCACCTGGGTGTGGCTGTTACCTATGGCTATGCTGGGCGGTGGCCCATGTCAGGAACCCAGCTGGATGTGACGTGTCTTTGCCCCTGAATATCACCCTGAGGATGACGTCCCCAGGCCTGAGCCACCTGTGTCTCAGCCGGAGTCCTCTCTGGGCCGCCTGTAACTCAGAGCTGTGCCAGGAAGGGAACTCTGAGGAAAGTTCCCAGGTTAACCAGGTGGGTAGCAGCACAATGCAGCTGTGCCTACAGTAAATCACAAAGGACTTTTATACCCAGCTTTCTTGTCTAAACAGAAACATTGTCCTTGCACCAGAAAGATATAGAAGCATACCTGTATTCACTAAGCTTAAATGCCACACAAATGTGAAAGATATTTAGATTTTTTAAATTCAATGTTTATTACACCAACACATTTATTATTAACCTGTTAAAATTCTAATGCTATGCTCTGCATTGTTATCTCTCTTTCATTATCTTCAAAAAATCTCCTTGGCTGCCTGATTGCTGTTCACTTATTCACTTGGATTCAGTATGGAAACCAAGTCCACTCATTGTACTTGTGATCATAACTTCTTAGTCACCTTCTACTTAGGAAAGATTGCTGTGGACCCCTAATCAATCAATAACTAATATTAGTCAATATTAATCAAATGACTACTTAATCATTAATATTAATAAAATTGATGGTTTTGAAGACACTGTATCAGTTTTGTTTTTCCAATGGATAGGTACTCTCTCAAAGAAAACTCTTAAAATGATTGTAATGTATAAAGACACATAAAGCTGATCAATTCTGAAGAGGTTGTGGGAATGTGTCTTTTTTTGATCTTCCTCTTGC